GCATTTGACTCATTAAAAAAAAAGAGAGAGAGAGAGATTCCTTTTTCCATTTAGCATTATTGCCTTTCAACATGTTTCAGATGTCAGTAGTTTCCTCCCCTCCTCATTCAATAGTCTCCTTGTTCAAGTAATTATTAGGTAGCATCCTGTGATCTCTCCACGTCAGTTTGTTTAGCTGTTACCTGTTGTAGAATGTTTTAGTTATTTCAGTTTTGGAATTACATAAATAAAGGTATTTTCTCTGGTGAGTTTTTCTATTTATAGAGCAACCTTTGCTGTTGAACACCTTAACTTTTGGTTTCATGTTGTATTTACTTTGATCAAATCCCATCTGTTCATCATTCTTAAGCTTTAGAAATATATTTTCCCTATCAATAAATAAATTGTTAGGATCATTTGTTTTTCTTCCTTGACTTGTATACATTGATTTTTCAAACACCTAAGTGTACTTTGTGTTCCTGATACAAACTTTACTTGGTTATAGACTGTTTCTTTCTTTGTGAATTTTATTTATGAGTATTTTGCTAGGCATTCCCATGTCCATAGTTAAATGTATTGTTTTCACTTTCTTTTATTTTTTCCATTTGTATTTTTTTTGTTTCTGATTTTTTTCTTGTATTTCTGTGACTTATTTGAAATTTTTTTAAATTATATTTTGTTTTTCTTTCATGTTTTTTCTAATTGATTGTTTTAGCTAATATATTTCATGTGTACATTTACAAACTACTAGCATTTATAGTTAACAAGTTAGAGATAAATGTAGAAACTTTTCACTCTTATGTTTGTCTACCTCTTCTTAAATATTTTTGTATTTGTGTTGAAAATCAAAAATTAAATATTGTATATCTTGGACTTCCAATGCTGATTTATAAAACTCAAGAAAACAAAATTTGATTGTATTTATCCATATTTTTACTTACTTGTTTCAAATTCCTAATATCTCTAATATCATAGGCTTCTTGTCTTTCTTTCTCTCTGTGTTCTTAGCTAGTCTTCTTTGAGCCATTCCTTTAGAGTAGGTCTGCTGGTGACACGCCCACTTAGCCTCCTTTTCTCTGAGAATGTTGTTCTTTCGTGAATGATAATTTCATCGTATTTAGGCTGACTTTTTTATTATTAATTTTAATTTTTTACATTTCAGTTGTTACCTGCCTCCTGGTCTGCCCTCCCAAAATTCATCCCATTCCTCATCTCCACTCTATCCAAGAGGATGTCCCCACCTCCTACCCCTTGCCCTCACCCCACCATACCTCCCCACTCCCTAGGGCCTCAAGTCTCTCTAGGGTTAGGCCCTTCTTTTCTCACTGAGGCCAGACCAGGCAGTCCTCTGCTGTACCTCATATCAGCTGGTGTATGCTGCCTGGTTGGAGGCTTGGTGTTGGAGAGATTCAGAGGTTCAGGTTAGTTAAGACTGCTGGTTTTCCTATGGGGTCACCCTGCTCTTCAGCTTCTTCCAGCCTTTCCCTAATTCAACCACAGGGGTCCCAGGCCATTGGTTTGACAATTAAAAACTACTGTGTTATGTGGCTCCCTGTATCCTCCCTAGTTCTGATTCAACATTTGCTATCATTCAGTATAATTCTTTTCTACTTCCTATACTTTTTTGGTGTGTTATAATATTTAGTTTTTATTTTTTACCCTGGTTTTTTATTCTTCTACTTTAAACATATATGTAACATCTTGACTGTAGGCTGCCATCTTTCTAGCATAAGCCTTTTTCTGCTTTTACCTTCTAGGACTTTTTCAACTCATCCACTTTTTCTTTTCATGCTTTAAGTATGGCTGTCTGAGGATCTTTATTACTGACCCCCAGACCTGCTTATCTTCTATAATTCTTTAGTCTGTCTCTGTTTGTCATACAGTGATTTTTTTTGCTACATTCAAAGACATTGCATCATTGCTCTGTCCTTCCCGTGGTGGTAGAGCCTATCCATCTGCTTCGTTAAATATCAGATGTTTTTCCAGTAAAATGACCCATTTGGTTATTGTGTTTCTTTTAACAGTTCTTGCTCTAGACTCATGAATATGCTTTCATAGTGTTCTCAGAAGCATAGCTGATTACCTTAGTTTTGCCCTTTGGAGTCAGACTAGAGTTAATATTAAGGAATGCCTACTGATGTCTACATACTGTTAACTGTGATAGGTTAAACATTTTTCTATATGTTTGATGGTCAGTATTTTATTTAATTTTCAAAATGACATTAGTTTTTACAATGTTAACCAATGGTATTCAATGCCAGGCACATTGTACTCTCTCACCTCCCCCCACCCCCTTTTCACTAATAGGATGTTTTTACTTTGTTTTCAAATAGTATACAGTGCTAATCTACTTTATAGAGTTTAGGCCTTATTTCTGACCATCATGTCCTTTGAAATCAGGGAAGAGAGAGATTGTAAACTGAATGGTTTCTCTAATCTTCATGGCTTTTAATGTATAGGCTTAACTATTTATCTTCTTAGCCAGCAAACATATAGATGCTTTCTTATGGAACAATTATGTATCCTGAAAACAATAACACATTTTCTAATGTATATACACTTTGAGGCTCTTGTGTAGTCCCATACAGGGGCATAAATATACAACAGACTGCTTATCCCCATCTACCAGTATACAGTACTGGAATTCTAATTTTAATCTGTGTTTATGAAATTATTTGAGAAGCACTTTTCTGCCCCATGGGTAAAGAGCTCTTTCTATACATTTTATTCTGTGTGTATTAGATAACACAGTTATATTGGTTTTCACAAACAAATTTTAAGAGATAGTTGTCCCCCATCTCTGGGCTGTATGTGTATGTGTTTTAGGATGGCTGTCAATGTGCTCCAACACATTTGTAGCCTATGGCATCACGTTACCATGTCAAAACATTATCCATACGTTAGATATGAACTGCATACATTAAAACATTATTTATACATTAAACATAATTGTTTGAAAATCCTTTTAAAACAGATTTCTAGACCTCACCAATATTTTTTGATTTACTAAATCTAGAGTGATACCCAGTGCATGATTTCTAATGTGTTTTCAGACTCTGCAGCTACTTCTCTGGGCACTTTAAATGTCTTTATTGCTGATATTCCCATTTGAATAACTTATAGACCTTTAAATATATACAGGTCAACCACTGTTTAATATATTCCAAAACTTCCAAGATAGATGTTTAAAAATAATTTTACTATAAAGTTCATAGTCAATAATATTTCAGAGTCTATAAAATAACTTACTACCATATCTTCTCTAACAAAAAAAAGGTTCTTCCTGTATATTTTTGTCTTCTCAGAAGTTGTCTTTCCTTATTCTGCTGCTTTAGCCAGAGATCTGGACGTTAGCTTGGCTACTCACTATGTTGATGAGTGAAGTTTCACAGCTCTCTTTTTTCTTTTGGTAGTTAATGTCATTACCTTTGTATAGGTTATAGTCACCTTTATCTTTCCTAGTGGTTATTGAAAACACCTTTAGCTTTTGGTTTCTTCTAACCCTGATTATAGAATTTAGATTCAGTTTTTGAAAGTGTAAGTCAGGTTCTGTCAGGTTTCCCTTAGTGTTTGACAAAGGTAATCTTCAGTATGAAATAAAATGATCCATGCAGGCGCTCCTGTGAGCCGTCACCGTTCCCACGGAGCACAGCATCCTCCAGCCTCGGTTCTTTTTAGGCTTGCTGGCATGCCTCTGCTCCTGCTTCTTTGGTGTTGGTAGTGAGATATATATATATATATATTACAATATCTATCTGACCAGAATGCTCTTTGCTTTTCCATATATCTATCTTTTTCTTTTTCCTTCCCACTTTCACGTCTTTCAGTTTCCATCTCAAATAGCATTACTGTGACTGTTTGGTGACTCTCGAGTTCGATTTCAGGTTTTCTCATAGTTTTTTGTCGTCTCCTCTGACACTAATTTGTCGTGTCTTTTCTCACACGTTGTAAACATGTTTCTGCGTTGGCCTCTATGTTAGCGATTAGCACAATATAGAACAAATGGAAGGTAAATGTAAATATGTGCAAATGAATGAAAACAATAATAGTGTTTAAAATATGTACATTTGTAGACTGAAAAGAAATCTTTTTTAAAACAATTAAGTGTGGAAAATAGAGTTTTCCAAGTTGCCATCATGTACATTGTCTACCAAAGCTGCAACAGTGTAATTTCTTAAGAGATAGACTGCATTAATGAAATAGTAAATAATTCATGTTATATAATTAAAATTTATTGTTTTCACTCTTCCTTCCTACTGACAGAAATAGAATGATACTTTTGGTCATTCTCACAGAAAATTTGTTGTTTTTTTTTTAACCACTTAAAATGTGAAGAGTCGTCATCATTAAAAAGATTGTCACCCTTCATCTCAGGCACCATATTTAAGTCTTTGGCTTGAGGATAGTAGTTATTGCTGGGCCACGGCTTAGTTTTCAATTGTTCACCACCCTTTTGAAGAAAACCCTCGTGCTGTAGACCAGCGTGGAAAACCAAATTAGCTCAAAACCAGACATAGCGGAGTCGTTTTTGTGTTAATCAGCTTATCCAACCATCTTTATTTCTACTTTTGTTTTGCTTATTATTAGCAAAAAATATTCTGTTTTTAAAAACTCTGGCAAGGCTTTTGTTCTGTACATTTGTCTAGACTACAAAAGCCTTATATTTTACATTTTATGAATTCTATTTGAAATCATAGCCTTTTCCTGGTATCTAATGAGTACTACAGATAAAGTTCTTGAAAGCAGACAGGATCCCATAGTTTACAATGTTTATAATTTCTCTGTCTGTCCTTTCCCATTGTCTCCTTTATTGCATTCTTGCCTGCCCGGCTCCCAGGAGACATGGAGTACAGCTGGTTGGAGCATACGTCTTGGCATAGCAGTGAGGCATCCCCAATGTCTTTGGTGAGACGTGTGGGGCCTTACTACTTAGTTCCCGTTTCCATCTCACTCTCCTTTTTATTTACACCTTTGCATGTTTTCTTTTTTTGTATCTTTTTTGTTTTATCTCACACTTGTAGGGGACAGTCAAAAGGGAAAAAGAAAAACTAGTGAGCAGGGAGTTTTGTCGGATTCTAACACCAGGTCTGAGAGACAAAAGAAAATGATGTACTTTGGTGGCCACTCTTTGGAAGAGGATTTGGAATGGTCTGAGCCTCAGATTAAGGATTCTGGGGTAGATACCTGTAGTAGCACAACTCTTAACGAGGAGCATAGCCGTAGTGATAAGGTACTGAGACTGTGGAGCTTGCCTTCTAACCTGCTCATTCGGTCTTCCTTTGTTTGCTCTCTGTCACTCATTCAAACAGGACATAATAAAGACCAGGGCATTTCAAGAGTCAATGTAGCATTCTCTTAAGGTGCAGAAAAGAAAAACAAAACAACTAAACAACCAAGCCAAAAAGCCTTTTGCTTCCTTTGCTGTTCTTGTTGATTGACAGCATACCTAAAACTAAGGAAATGACAAGAAACCTTAGGAACAAAGGGATGTTTTGTATACAGTTGAATAAGAGAATTTTGCGATGTTGTTATAAACAATAAATAAATATTTTTGGATTGGCTTATTTTAATACTTACATATATTTTCCTTGGGATGAAATATCAAATTATTAGTTGTCTGAATCCCAGGCAAAAGGGAGAGAATTGGGTGTGTTGTACAGAAAATGTTGTTTTTCTTTTTTCCCTTTCACTGTCGTTTTGTTCTTTCGTTTTACTGTTGTAGCGTTCTGATGTAGTATTAACTAGTAGTAGATCCATTACCATCTGCTTCGATATTTATTATTTTATTTGCTTTTAGTATAGCAAAAAATAATCTTTTACCATATAGATGTGATTGCCTGGAACTTGTCTTTTGCCTGCTAAATTTTGCATGGAATTATGCATGCTACTTTAGGTAACTATGGAATTACTATGATTACACAAATCATTTACTTTGTGGCTTATCATGTTATTCACAATGAAATGCTTTGTCATTTATAAAGACATAATTCTGAATCCAACAAAGAAATAAGGTGGTAATATTATTGTTATTTAACTATAATTGTCTTTGAATTGCCTATTAAAAGAAATTTAATGAATAGATTAAAAGATCTAAGACAACCAGTAGCCTTTTTCCCGGTGTGGTGGCCTTTATGTCATTGCTGCAAAAGCAAGTAAATACTTACAGGCTTAAAGAGCAGCATAGGCTCCATAGTGAGGTCAAGGGCAGGTTGGTCTATGTAGCAAAACCCTATTCAGAAAATCAATAAAATTTAATGATGTGGGAAATATAATCTGTTCATATTTAAGTACATCCTGTTTCTACTATGCAAATTCAGTTGGAAAGTTAGTGGAGAATTATGTAGTTTTGTGAATTTTCATGTTCATTGTGAGTTTAGATTTCATGTTTTAATATTCCCCCTTTAACTTTTACTAGTGTGAGAATATTTCAAAACTGTCCGAAAGTGTTTGAAGAAGAAATTGTCACTTTTTAATGGGATCAATTAAGTAGATTTTTACTGTCTCTATCCTTTATGCCTGTGAGGTTTTAATGAGACTTTAGAAAGTTGAGCTATCACATGTTTTAAAGAAAATCTCAGAGCTATTATGTTTTAGTATTGTGATAGATAACTGAGGATTTGCTATGATTGGATTTAAAAGAAAACCGTGAATTCATAAAATTGGGCTTATAAAACTAATGTAGTAAACTCTCAAGTTAGTGATTTGGAATGTAAACTGGTTTGTGTAATCATAATACTTTAGAATTATGAAGTTTAAGATAATGTTCAAGCATGGTAATTGGTTATAAAATTAATTTTTCTTATTGTTGATATTGTATGTCAGCACCCTGTGACCTGGCAGCCATCCAAAGATGGAGATCGCCTAATTGGTCGTATTTTATTAAATAAACGCTTAAAAGATGGGAGTGTACCTCGAGACTCAGGAGCAATGCTGGGCTTAAAGGTATGTAATAAACTTTCTTGGATTTGGCTCTATATTACTTTACAGATTTATCAACAAAACAAATATAGCTCTTTATACCGATGCCAATTTAGGAGATATCTTATTGTGAACAATTGTGGACGCACATGCAACCTTGCATACTTATGTACATGTACACCTGAAACTCACACATTGTATGCAGACCCATTATACATGTAACCTGGAAACACACACACACACACTCGCACACACACATTCAAGAATTCTAAAATATTGTCATTTGTTCCTGCAAACTCATTTTCCATGTATTTTAAAGAAGTTTCCAGGATAGAAGGTAAAGTGATGACCTTGCAAATAAGAGGCTCTGATTCCAGTCCTCAGACTCCACGAATAAAAGCCAGAGGAGGCAATGTGCCCTTGTGATCCTAACGCTGAGGAGGCAGAGGAGGTCAGATTTCTTGTACTAATCACCTTGCCAGCTTAATCTACCTGACAAGTTCCAGCTCATTGTTGGTTTAGGACACTAAAGGTGGTTCTCTGGCCTTTATACAAATGTGCACATGTCCATGCACACTCATACACATATGCACCTGCAAACACACACACGTCCATGCAATTATATATATGTGCAAGTGCAAACACACAAATATGTATGCACACTCATACCTATGTACACCTGAAAACAGATGTGTAATCCTGCAAATACACCACAGCCACTCATGCAGATGTACACCTGCAAACACATATATCCAGGTACACTAATGCACATGTACATCTGTGAACTTATACATCTGTACACACATATCCATGCATACTCAAACACGGGAACGTTTGTGGACGCACATACAACCTTGCATACTTATATACATGTACACTTGAAAACACACACGTTTTATGCATGCCCATATACATGTAAGCTACACACACACACACACACACACACACACACACACACACAGTTATTTTCTGGTAGTCTATAATAATAGTTTTACATGAAAGACATTGGCAATAACCTGGTGAGAAAAGTTTGAATCCTACATGCAGTGAATATGCTTGAACTGTTTATCGTGCCTATATTTATGTCAGTATTAAAATAATTGCTTTAAGTTTTAGTATGAAACTTGGAAATATAATATATACATTACAAAAAAGTATCTTTTTGTTTTGATATAGTAAAGTGTGTTAGTACATGTAAATGTGTATGTTTTAGGGAAAACTAGTTTGTCTTGGTTTGAGATGTTGGGGATCAAACTGAAGCCCTTATGCATGCTAGTCAAATGCTCTAAACTGAGTTATATCAACCCAATATTCCATTTGAAATGGAAACCCCTAAATAACTATGCCAGGTGGCAAAGATATTAATGTATATATTAACTATAAAATTATAGAATGCTGTTTGGCACATATGCAAATAGAGCTCTTTTAGGTTTTGTATATCTAATATACCTAGTCAAAAACTGAAGTAAAATAGAGTAAATGTTTCAGAGTTAAACATTGCTGCAGAAAATTGTACTCTAGAATATAGTAAACAGTATTAGAATAATGCTGGTGTAAGAAATCGGATGGTTCCAGTGTATGTGACTCTCATCTGATTATTCCGCGTCTCTCATCTTAGTCAGTATTCATAGGGGTCCTCTAAGCTTTCCGTTATCAGGAGACATGCTGACAGTGGTGGGATTTTAATTCAGAATCACAGAATGAAGCAGCAGGGCAGAGGTTAGGCAGGCTTGGCTTTGATTTCAATTAGAGTAGTTTTTTTTATTTCTATGTTTTTTGGTGGTGGAAAGGATTCATTGTAGATGAAGGAGAACATAGAGAAAGAGACATCTGGGAGAGTCAGAGTGAGCATGACTGAGAGCCAGGCCATGTGAGGGGAAGGGGGAGGGGAGAAGAGAGAGCCAGGAGACCAGAGGGGAAGTGAAGGGTAGACAAAGGGCAGGGGAAGTGCCCCTCATCCAACCTTGGAAGGATAAACTTGTCACGGCACAGGTTTCAGTCTGTGTAATGTGGACATGGCATGCCCTCTGACGCGTTGAAGTAATATCCACTAGAGCAGCTTCCAGGATTTAGTACAATGCCTGCCATAGGATCTGAGTTTTGTAATAATCCACACTGACTATAACTATACTAATAATTTCAACAGCCTTGTTATATTTTCTTGAGCATCAACAATTTTCTTAAAATATTTGCATGAGCATGTGAAGCTATAAGATATTTACATTTAACTTTCAGAATTAAGCAGTGTTAATTAATATTGATGGAATTACAACTGAGTATACTTCACTGTAACTGGGGAATATTTATATGGATTTAGATAAGATAGGTCAGTAACTTTTAATTTCATTCAGTGATCTGTAACTTACTTCACAAGAGAACAAACCGGTTTACTCTAGTCAGTGACTTTAGTCACTATCATTTTATTCACCTGCTGTGAACTTTGGTGTAGACTGATTGAATGGTGGCTGACTGGAGTCAATTAGTTAATTTTGTAAGAGTATTATATTTTCCATATAATTTTACAGCATTCCTAATGCATGTTTCCAACATGTATTTCTTTTTCTACAATAAATATTTTAATAGATAATAAAAAGTAAAAATTTGGGCTTCAAATATTCTAAAGTTTATATTTTTTATTATTATTATTTTTATTGGATATTTTACTTACATTTCAGATGCTATCCCCTTACCCCATTTCCCGCCCTCCACCCTGAAACCCCCAATCCCATCGCCCCTCCTCCTGCTTCTCTGTGGATGTGCCCCTACATTCCCCCCCACTCCTACCTCCTCACTCTCAAATTCCCCCACACACTGCATCCAGCCTTCACAGGACCAAGGATCTCCTCTCCACCTATACCTAACAGGACCATCCTCCCTTACATATACAGATGGAGCCATGGATGCCTCCCTAAGTGCTTCCAGGCTGGTGATTTTGACCCTGGGAGCTCTGGTTGGTTGGTGTTATTTCCCTCCTCAAGGGACCACAAACTCTTTTAGCCCCTACAGCCATCACTGTAACTCCTCCATTGGGAACCCCTTGATCAGTTCAATGGTTAGCTGTGAGCATCCATCTCTGAATATGTCAAACTCTGGCAGACCTCTAAGGAAACAGCTATATCAAGCTCCTGTCAGCATGCACTTCCTGACATCCACATCAGCGACTACCTTTGGTGACTGCACATGGGATGGATACTCAGGTGGAACAGTCTCCAGACGGCTCTTCCTTCAGTTTCTGTACCATAGTTGTCTCCATATTTGCTCCCTTGAGGATTTTGTAACTCCTTCTAAGAAGGACTGAAGTGCCCCCACTTGGTCTTCCCTCTTCATGAGCTTCATGTGGTCTGTCAGTTGAACGTTGGATATTTCAAGCTTCTGGGCTAATATCCAATAATCAGTGAGTGAATACCATGTGTATACTTTTATGATTGGGTTACCTCACTAAGGATGGTATTTTCTAGTTCCATCCATTTACCTAAGAATTTCTCGAATTCATTGTTTTTAATAGCTGAGTAATACACCATTGTGTAAATGTACCACATTTTCTGCATCCATTCCTCTGTTGAAGGACATCTGGGTTCTTTCCAGCTTCTGGCTATTATAAACAAGGCTGCTATGAACATAGTGGAGCATATGTCCTTGTTATATGTTAGAGCATCTTCTGGGTATATGCCCAGGAGTGATATAGCGGATCCTCAGGTAATGCTATGTCCAATTTTCTGACGTACTGCCAGACTGATTTCCAAAGTG